TGGTGTGTGTGTATATGTGTGTGTATATATATATATATATATGTACCCCAAGGGGTAAAATTGTTGAGTGTACATACCTTTGACTTCAGTAAATCTTTTATTTTTAGTAGAGACGGAGTTTCACCGTGTTGGCCAGACTGGTCTTGAACTCCTGATCTCAGGTGATCCAGCAGCCTCGGCCTCCCAAAGTGCTGGGATTACAGGAGTGAGCCACTGTGCCCAGCCTCTTAGAAGTAGATTTTTAAGCTGTTAATGAAAACTTTTAAGATACCCGATGATTCATTAAGTGCTGTCAGCCCTCTTACTGTTTTTATCTCCACAGCTGGTTTGTCTGTGGCAGTGCCTTGTTGCTCGTCAGCTTATCAATTGCGTTTTACTGCATAGTCTACCTGGAATGGTATTGTGGAATTCGAGAATATGATGTCAGGTATCCAGCCTTGATACCTATTACCACTGCCTCCTTTATTGCAGCAGGAATTTGGTAAGTTAACTTTGAAATGACTAACAGGAATGAACAACAATTTTTTTTTGATCAGATAGTGATATACTTGGTCCAAACTTTGAAAGAAAAACGGTATAACAGAAAAGGAGTCTCCTGATCATTCATGCTCTCTGGTTCCCTTTTCATTAGTATCTCTTTCTCCTTCTATTTATGGATCTAGTTATTTAAAGCACAGATGGTGACATTCTGTACATATTTTGCATTTTGCTTTTTAAATGTATCTGACATGCAATACATATAGAAAAGTGGAAAAAACTAAAATGAATGAATTAGTGAATGAATTCTCATGAAGTGAGTATTGGTGTAAATCGAGCCAGCACACTGGGAACCCCCTTCATTCTCCCTCATAGTTCCTACACCTTCCCTCCTGCCGCAGGTAAATACTGCCCTGACCTTCATGGTAACTACTTGCTTTGCTTCATTAGGTATTCTATTTTTGTTTCATTTACGCTTTTGAACTTTATAGAAAGGGATTGGTACAGGGTGTATTCCTTCACATTGAGCTGGCTGTGTGCAGCATTATGTGCAGTTCTTTCATATCGTCGCCTGGAACAGTGACTCATCTTCATTGCCCTTTTGCATTCCATTGTTTAATTGAATCCCAGTTTCTCTTTTCCATTGTTGATTGTGTTTAGATTTTTTTCAATTTGGGGTTACTATAAAGGATGCTATAAAGAGCATTCTTGTATAAGGCTCTTGTAGCACCAACTGAAGTTGGTGTGTGTGTATATGTGTGTGTATATATATATATATATGTACCCCAAGGGGTAAAATTGTTGAGTGTACATACCTTTGACTTCAGTAAATCATGCCAAACTGCTTTCCAAAGTGGTTGTTCATCTTTTTTTTCCTTTTATTTTTCAATGGATTCTTATAGTTTGGGATTCTTCCATAATGGTACTTATAGATGTTTCTCATTCTTTTAAGCAGTTGCATAGTTTTCACAGCATGGACATATCATGATTTATGTAACCTGTCTTCTGCTGTTGGACTTAATTATATTTATACTCAAACAATGCCACAGTGAATAACCTTCTTCATAAGTTAATTAAGTACTCAATGAAAAGTACAGGGTTTTTTGGGTTTGTTTATAAAAGTAAGACTTGCTCACTGAGGGAAAAAAAATCTGTAAATTACAGAAAAACACAAAGGAAATACATCCTATGATCCAACCAGAAAGAAAACTAGTTTTCCTATGTTGTGTGTAGCTCTTTAGTTTTTTCTTTCTTTATATCAATTGACTTTTTTTTTTTTGGAGGGAGACAGGGTCTCACTCTGTCACCCAGGCCAGAGTGCAGTGGTGTGATCACAGCTCACTGCAGCCTTGACTTTGCAGGCTTAAGTGATCCTCCTACCTCACTCAGCCTCCTGAGTAGTTGGGACCACAGGCACATACCTCCACACCTGGCTCTTTTTTGTATTTTTTGTAGAAATAGGGTTTCGCCATGCAACTCAGGCTCGTCTCAAACTCCTGACCTCAAGCCATCCACCTGCGTCAGCCTCCCAAAGTGCTGGGATTACAGGCGTGCACCATGACCACCCCAGCCTAATTGAATTTTTATTTTGGAAGAACCACATACCTTTATACATATTCAGTTCAAATATATTCTTTCTATGACTCACTTTCTGTAGTTGAAGTTCAAAGTTGTTTGACAGTGTGATACGGTTATTGTTAACTTTTTTAGTGATGTGGCGGCATACAGATATGTTGTTTTACTTTTTCCCATAAGGCTAAGGCCATCTCCAGAAACATTAATTTTGTAGACAGTGTGATTATAGTTATTTAATACTCACACTTATCAAAATATTATATATTAAAACCAATAACTATCTGAACTTATTTGAATATAGTTTTCCCTATTCTGTTCTTAGAAATTTCAGTCATTAAAAATCATTTATACTTAGAAAGTTTTTAATTTTACTTTGATGACAGGAATAGTGTTTTTCTCAATGAAAGATATAATAGCAGCTTATAAATGATAACTGTTTTCATTCTGTTTTTAAGAGAAAATACTTTGGTATTTTTTACCATGATAATTTAGTGTGTGATTTCATAAAAACGAGCTGTAGCCATTTAAATTCTTGTTCAGGTGCAGAAACTAAGAGACTTCAGTTTCTATTAAGCCATGTCAAGTCCTATTAGGAGACCTTTAGTGGTTTCAGTTCCAGGGCCTTCTTGAAGAAATTGTGATAATTGTGTAAGTATATCTAGAGTTTTCCTTTTCAGCACTGGCTAAGTCACATAACTGAGAATTATGATACATAGAGACAGTTGCTGACTGGATGAACTTTTCCACATTGAATTCTTTAAATCTAGATTCTAGAGTAAAATATATTGATGCATATCAGAGTCGTCAACTGTTTATTTGTTGTTTTTTTCAGCTTCAACATTGCTCTATGGCATGTGTGGTCATTTTTCACTCCGTTGTTGTTGTTTACCCAGTTTATGGGGGTTGTAATGTTTATCACACTCCTTGGATGATTTTTGAAGGTAAGATATCTGGAATGGTTTTTCTAAAAATGAACTCATTTGAAAAATGTCTTTTATGACAATTTTGTTGTCCACACTAGAATTATCCGTCCGTTGACCTCTGAGATAGAAGGGATTGAGACTCTTTTTTTTTTTTCTTTGTAGACAGGGTCTTACTCTGTTGTCCAGGCTGGAGTATAGTGGCATGATCACAGCTCACTGCAGCCTTGACCACCTGGGGGCTCAAGCAATCCTCCCACCTCAGCTTCCCAAGTAGCTGGTATTACAAACATATGCTACCATGCTTGGCTAATTTTTAAAAAAATGTTTTGTAGAACCAGAGTCTCCCTATGTTGCCCAGGCTGGTGGGGATGGGGGACTGAGACTCCTTCTTTTGAAAAAGTTGGTTCTAAGTTACTACTTTTTAGAAAAGGTACACTGCCTTTCAAAGACCTCATAAAGACAGGATTTGCACCTTCCAATATAGTTAAATTCACACATTAGACCATTTTATGTTGAGATCATATTAATTTCTGTCAACTTACATTCAATGACTGTTGGCTAGATCATTCTTAAGAAATGGGAATACAGGAAGAATGGACAATTTTACCCAATTGGGAAAAAAAAATCTGCCATCTTCTAACTGTCCTGACTTCCTCAGAAGAATGTGTTGGAGGACACAATCAGCTTTGGTTTGGTGTTATTCATAGAATTTCTGCCTCCCCGCAGATAACCCCATCCTGAGATCTGCTGCCTTACACAGTGGAGGCTGTTTTCTGAGTGTCGGATAACTCTGTTATTAAATAAGTGTATATTGAGAATGCTCACTCCAGATGCCTAGGGGCATAGTGAAAAGGACAAAGTGCCTCCTGTCAGGTCACTTACATCAGAACTTGCAGAAAATCTGCTTTATACAGCAGTTGACAGGTGTGGAAACTGAGGCCTATGGAAATGAAAGTTAATACACTAAATTTCCAAGATGTTAATGAAAAACTGACATTTCTGCCAACAGCATGCTCTCTCTATGGGATTTAAAGGAAGGTCAGTGGTAACCATGTACAGAAGAAATGGACATAGTCTCATTGTTAGCAGTCTGAAAATAGTTGCTAGCACCTCCATGCCCGTTCCAATGTCTGCAGCCTCCTTCATGCACCCGCTGTGTCTTGGGATCACTGGGAGCCCTCACTGGAGGCCCTTCATTCCTATACACTTGTGGTGCCACAAGCGGCTCTGGGCCTGGAGGAATCCTGCACATCTCAGAACACTTCCTCACCTGACCCTGTCAGCCATCTCTCTCCTCATGTTCTCAGCCCCTTCTTTGGCTCTTCAATTTTGAGTTTTTACAGATGTTTGGGAGCTCTTACTCTGACATGAATTTATAATTGGTAATGGAGACTCAGACAGTGTTGTAGATCACAGAGTGAACTATGCTTTTTAGTGTTAAATGCAATAGCTTAAGATAGAATGTTTTTCTTGGTACATAAATGCTGGTTTTCTTTCAGATTTAAGGACATATACTTTTTTTTTTTTTTTTTTTTTGAAGAGACAGGGTCTTCTATGTTTCCAGGCTGGCTTTGAACTCCTGGGATCAAGTGATCCTCCTGCCTCAGCCTTCAAAGTAGTTGGGACTACAGGCCCACGCCACTGTGCCTGGCTGGACATGTAAATTTGAAGTGAATGGTTAAACATCCAGCTAGCTGAAAGTATGGCAGACCCTCACAGAAAAGCTGCAGTGTGTTTTTGCAACTATGAAGTGAATGGTTTCCTGGGAAAAATTGTGACTTTGTATAACTGTTGTTGAAATCAGAATAAATTATATTTCACTTGCATATTCTTAAATTATTAAAATTTTCAGAAGTCAGTGATATAGGAATACTATTTTGCAATGTGAATCCATTTGAATATTTGGAGAAGGTGGTTTCATTATAGGTGCATAATGCACTCTTAATATTTTAAACAAATAGTTCACTCTTCCCTTTAAGGGATAGCAATTCCTTATATAAAATGACTGGATGTGTATAAAGGAATTATGTTGTCATGTGCCTTTAACCAGCTTTAGTAATTACTATAATCTCATATTTATGATAGTTTTGTTAGGTACAGGACCAAATGAAAGTATTTTACGTTTTCCCATCACTTTAGATTTTATCATTGTGTAAATTACTGGGGTTTTAGCATTTCCTAATGTGAAGTTTTAATCATTTTTAAGTATACATATTTTTTTCTGTACCATTTAAATAAAATATTTTTATAACTTTCTTGTGAGTTTTGTTCATGCAAACTTTGGAATAACTTCTGGTTTTTTGCTATTAGCACTTTGAATTAACTATATAAATAACAAGGGCTCTGTTCGTCAAAGACTTTATAGAGACAGTATTTGCACTTTCAAATGCAATATGTCTGCATTTAATCTAAACAGCATAAGCATTGTGACAGAAGGTACCTCATGTTGATTGTTTTCTCTGTAAGGTGACTTCTAATAATGACCTGACTTAATCACCACTTGTGTGTGTGTCTGGTTCAGATCATACCCTGCCATTTACTAGCTGCAAGACCTTCAGCAGTATAGATTTAGTATCCCTAATTTCAAAATCTGAAACTTTTTGATTGCTGACATGACACTCAAAGGAAATGCTCATTGGAGCATTTCAGGTTTTGGAATATAATGCAAATATTCCAAAATCTAAAACACTTGTGGTCCCAAGCATTTCAGAGAAGTAGTAGTCAGCCTGTAGTCTTTTTTCAGCTGTGAAGTGGGAATAATATCTGTCTTATTGTGGGTTGTGGGTAATAGTAATAATGTTTGTGAAACACCAATTACAGTGCCTGACACACAGTAGATGTCCACTCAATAAATGGTAATGGAGAGGGAAAGAAAGGGAAAGCAGAATCTAGGATCAGGAATATCACATCCGGTTATGACATTTGCAAAAGGGAAAGTCAGGCATGATGAGTAGACAGAAGCAAACCCAGTTTGTGGTCATGGGTATGTGCAGGTGTGGCGAGAGTGTCATTTAAAATAGGGAGCAAGGCCAGGCGAAGGCCATAATCAGGCAGCTGAGTCAGGTAGTGATGAATCAGGCAATGATGTCAGGGTCCAGCATAACTGAGGCTGCAGCTCTGGAAGGTAGGGCATTTGGATCAGATCCCCCAGAGGGAGCTTGGGTGAAGAGTGCCCCATGTCAGCCTTCACACATTTTATATCTGTCTTTTATTATTATTATTATTTTCTTGAAGAGTATGCTTACAACATGGATAGAAATCTAAGGCTGGGATGTGTTTAAAACAATTAGTTAAAATCTAGTTTCCCAAGTGCTAATAACTGGCCAATTAGGATGGTATGAAGATTATCCTGTTACTTAAAAAGAGACTTTTTGAGACAGAGTCTTTAACTTGTCATAACATGCCTGAACAGGATCTAGTTTGAGACACTAAAAAGGATAAGACATCAGTTTGGAAAGAGACCACATCAGTGCAACATGAATTCTGCTAAAATCGAAGCAAGAACAAACATCAATTTATTGTGAAGCTTGGGTGAAAAAATGGTGAAATCATTAATACTTCACGAAAAGTTTATGGGAACAATGCCCCAAAGAAATCAACAGCTTACAAATGAATAACTTGTTTCGAGAAGGTAGCAGATGATGTTGAAGAGGAAGCCCTCAGTGAGAGACCTTACACATGAATCTTTGAGGAAAAAATTAATCTTGTTTATGCCCTAATCAAAGAGGACTGATGATTAACAGCAGTTAACAATAGCAGAAACAATAACCAGTGTCATAGACACTGAACAATTGGTTCAGGTTACACAATTCTGACTGAAAGCAAACTTTCTACTTGATGTGTACCAAAACTGTTGTGCCCAGATCAGCTGCAAACAACAGCAGAGCTTTCAATGGAAATTTTAAACAAGTGGGATCAAAATCCTGAAGCATTTGTTCAAAAAATTGCAACAGGATATGAAACATGGATTTCCTAGTACTATTCCTGAAGACAAAGCACAATCAAAGCAATGGCTACCAAGAAGTGGAAGTGGGTCAGTCAAAGCAAAAGCAGACGAGTCAAGAGCACAGGTCATGGCAACAGTATTTTGGGGCTCAAGACACTTTGCTTGTTGACTTTCAGGAGGACCAAAGAATGGTAACATCTGCTTATTATGAGAGAGTTTTGAGAAAGCCAAAACTTCAGCAGAAAATTCTTGGGAAAGCTTCAGCAGAGTCCTCCTCCACCACGACAATGCTTCTGCTTATTCCTGTCATCAAGGGCAATTTTGGGAGAATTTTGGTGGGAAATCATTACAGTCCCGATTTGGCTCCTCCTAACTTCTTTTCGTTTCCTAGTCTTAAAAATTCTGTAAAGGGTACCCTTTTATCTTCAGTTAATGTGTAAAAGACTGCATTGATATGGTTAAATTCTCAGGACCTTCAGTTCCTTAGGGATGGGCTACATGGCTGTATCACGACTTACAGAAGTGTCTTGAACTTGATGGAGCTTATGTTGAGAAATAAAGTTTATATTATTATTTTTAATTCATTTTTTCCAAATTTTGAAGTCCGAGGGTACATGTGGAATGGCTAGATTGAGTTCATTAATATATGCATTACTTTGCATACTTATTTTTTTGTGGTGAGATTTCTTAAAATCTACTCTCTTCACAATTTACTATGTGTACAATAGGTCTCTTGAACTTACTCTTCTTAACTGAAATTTGGTACCCTTTGACAAATATCTCCCAACCCCCGAATTCCCCCTGCTGCCCAGTCCCTGGTAGCCACTATTCTACTCTCTTACTATATGACCTCAGCTTTTTTAGATTCTACATATAAATGAGATCATGTGGCATTTGTCTTTCTGTGCTTGGCTTATGTCACTTAACATAGTATCTTCCAAGTTCATATCCATATTGTTGCAAATGTCAGGATTTCCGTTTTTTTTTTTCTTTTTTTGAGACAGAGTCTGGCTCTGTCACCGAGGCTGGAGTGCAGTGGCACAATCTCAGCTCACTGAAACCTGGACCTCCCAGGCTCTGATGATCCTCCTACCTCAGCCTCCCAAGTAGCTGGGACTACAGGTGCGCACCACTGGGTCTGGCTAATATTATTATTATTATTATTATTTTGACACAGAGTTTCACGCTTGTTGCCCAGGCTGGAGTGCAGTGGCGCGATCTCGGCTCACCCGCAACTTCTGCCTCCCGGGTTCAAGTGATTCTCCTGCCTCAGCCTCCTGAGTAGTTGGGATTATAGGCATTTTTACTAGAGATAGGGTTTCTCCATGTTGGTCAGGCAGGTCTCGAACTCCCGACCTCAGGTGATCCACCTGCCTCGGCCTCCCAAAGTGCTGGGAGTACAGGCGTGAGCCACCGTGCTCAGGCTGGCATCAGGCCTTTTTTTTTTTTTTTTTGTAGAGTTGAGGTTTTGCCATGTTGCCTAGCTGGTCTTAGACTCCTTGGCCCAAGCGGTCCCCCACCATGGCCTCCCAAGAGTATTGGGATTACAAGCGTGAGCCATTGTGCCTGGCCGTTTCCTTCCTTTTAAGGCTGAATGAAATAGTATTCTGTTGTGTATGTATACAATGTGTATACATACACACATTTTCTTTGTCCATTTATCCATTGATGGATGCATAGGTTAATTGCATATCTTGACTATGATTGTGTGTGTT